TATATTATATTATATTATATTATATTATATTACAATCTTCTATAATATTATCTTCTATAATATTATTTGATATATTATATATTTAGTGATTTAATATATATCAAAAAGTAAATAATAAATTTTTAAAAAATAATAAAAAAAATATTACTTATTTATATAAAATTGCGAAAGTATTTAATTAATTTATATAAAAAAAAGATAAGTCTGAATAAATTTCGAAATGTAAAAATAAATAGTTATAAATAATTCAAATTTAATAACAACTCAATAAACAAATAATTCAAATTTTGTAACTTGAAATATAATTTTTTTCTCTATAACTTCTATCTAATTTATCAAATATTAAATAATTATCAATTATCAAATAAATTCAATAAAAGACGTTAGTTTTAAAGCGATTATTTTTGATTCTCTTATTCAATTATATCTTTTGATGTTTATATCATAAGTAGCAGTTCTCTTTAATGATAAATTCAGAAAAAAATTTTTTCAAAGAAATATGTATAGAATAATAATATATAGAAATTGTATAGATTTGTTTAAAAATAAAAATCTTCTTAGAAAAGATGAAAGAAAAGGAAAAGTTTATTTACATAAACTAATATTTACATAATTATTTTATTGTAATATAAAGATAAATAACATTATAAATTTTAAATATTAATGATTTTAACCATTTTTTAAATATTTATCTTATTAAATATCTGTTTTTATATTATATTAATAAGGTACGTTTTCTTCTATTTTATTTCCAGTATTACGATTTTTAATAAAAATATTCTTCTTAAATATACTTAATACGAATATTTAAGTTTTAATTATTCAATTTAATCAAAAAACTTAAATATAATTTTTTTAATATATATACATAATATCTTTATAAATAATAATGTAGATACAATGATCACAATTTAAAACATTAAGTATTTATATTTATAGGTAAAGGTAGTTTTGGCCAAGTAGTAAAAGCGTTTGATCATGAAGAACAAACGCAAGTGGCAATAAAAATTATCAAGAACAAAAAACCTTTTCTAAATCAAGCGCAAATCGAAGTGAGGCTATTAGAAATGATGAACAGGGCGGATACCGACAACAAATATTATATAGGTTGGTTATTATATTTTATTATTATATCAAATACATTGTACATTATAATATATTTTTTGTACATATAAAATGAATATTTAATAACTGAAATATAGAACTGAAAGATTATAACTTAATTTCAAATAAAGATAAAATAAAGTATATAAAAAAAAAATTTGCAATGTTTAACAAATTTTATTATTCTATTGTATAATACAATATGAAGTGTAATTATATTTCTTTTTAAATAGAAGTTTAAGATATTTTTTAAATAACTTAGTTTTTATATATAAGAAATATGAATTAAAATTATTGAATATTCAATATTTCTAAAAGTATTTTGCATTTTTTGAAAATTTACAATATATATTTAAACGTTACTTCGTTACTATTTTATATATTTTTTATTATATTTTTTTAGTATATTATATTCAATAATAGTAACATTGTAACAAATTTTATTTTTTTCTTATTTTGTAACCTTCAATAGACATTTCTTATAGATTTTAATGTTCTTAATATAAAAATCATTTTCTTTCAAAATCTATAGTTTTTGAAAACAATTTTTAACAAATTTTATACTTTTATACTTTACAATAATAGTTATTATTCTTGATACAAAGAATATAATTTTATAGATCTTTTTTAATAAATAAATAAATTTAAAAAATCTGAATATATTTAAAAAATGATCAAGTTAAAAGAATATCAAAAACAAATTCATTTCTGCTGATATTTTAAGTTCATATTATAAGTTCATATATTTCATAAACTAATTTTAAAATATTTAATTATATTATGCAATAAAAGAGAATTTTCTGCTAAGAAAAACATTAAGAAAAGTTATAAAGTCATTTTTGTTTCCAATATAGAAGCAAAATAGTTTGATAAAATGTTGTGATAATAATATATATATATAATAGTATATAATAGTATATGTATAATGATAAGTAATATAATGATCACGATTCCAATACATGTAAGTGACAAAATGACCATTATTATTGTAACATTGTTGTTGAATATTTTATCAAATTATTTTACTTTTATATTAAAGGAAATTATAAAAATGATTTTATAGTTTTGTCTTGATATTTTTCTTAATAATAAGTTCTATCGTGTAATATGATTAGAAATTTTTCTAAATCCTTAATTTATGAAATAATTATAATATATTAAAAATTAGCAAAAATAGATATAGATATAGATATAGATAGATAAATGTTTTGAGTATTTTTTCAAATTTAATTATTATTTAAACATATTTAAATATTTATAATTAAACTATTTATATCATTTACAGAATCATTTCCAGAATCAACAGGAATTGAATAAATATTATTATAAAAACACAAAGCACTAATAAATTTGAAAATTTGCAATTCTTTTAAAATTGATTTTTTCAAAAACTATGAAAAAAACAACACTACAAATTCATATTAAAATTTTCAGCATATTAAAATCTATAAATATCTATTGAATATTAAAAAACCAGATAAATATTAAAAAGGATAATTAAACAAATAGCTATGAAATGAAAATCAAATTACTGTCATATTTATTAATACAATTATATTTCTTGATCTTATATACATAATTACATTACATATATTTATAATATAAATAATTTTCAGTCAATATTCATTTAATTTCAAGAAATATATTGATTTATTCTTAAATATATCTTCTTAATGATTTTTGTTAATAAAAAAAAAAGAATTATATCAAATTTAGAAAATTATAGAAATAATTATAATTAATAAAAACTATAATTAATAAAAAATTATAATTAATAACTAATAAAAAAATATTAAATAAAAACATTAATTTATGAATAATATTATATGTTGTTATTATATCTTTTCATAATACATAGATAATGAAAAATTATTTAATGGAACTATTTAATAAAAAAAATGATTTGATATAGTCATATATAGTCATATATTTATTCCTGAAAGATCATGAAATTCCATTTAAAAATATTCATATAATTAAACCTTCTAATTATATTGATATATCTGAAAAAATTACATAATAGGATAATAGAACTTGCTAAACAATATAAAACTTTTCTCTATTTTTCTATTTTTTCTAATTTTTAAAATTATAATCCATTGCAGTTATTTGAATTATTTTGAATATAATATACTATTTATGTAAAATCATTAATATTGTATTAAATTAAATTAAACTTTTTAATTACAGTTAAACTAAAAAGGCATTTTATGTGGCGAAATCATTTATGTCTAGTATTCGAACTGTTATCATATAATCTGTACGATCTACTTAGAAATACAAATTTTCGAGGAGTGTCATTGAATTTAACAAGGAAGTTTGCACAGCAACTGTGTACTGCCCTTTTGTTCCTGTCTACACCGGAATTGAACATCATTCACTGTGATCTGAAACCTGAAAACATACTTTTGTGCAATCCCAAACGAAGTGCGATAAAAATAGTAGATTTTGGTAGTTCGTGTCAACTTGGACAAAGAGTAAGTAATATTATAATTTGATAATTGATAATATAATTTTGAAGCTAATTATTGATTTTATTTATAGATATATCAGTATATTCAATCCAGGTTTTATCGATCTCCTGAAGTCTTATTAGGAATACCTTATGATCTTGCGATAGACATGTGGAGTCTAGGATGTATTTTAGTTGAAATGCATACAGGAGAACCTTTATTCAGTGGGGCCAACGAGGTAATAAATATTAAATTATATTAAAAATTTATATTTTTATATAATGTAATATAATAATAAAATATTAATATTAAATAAAAATTATTTAATATTTTAATTAATTTATTTTATATATTATATATTCCATTTAATGTATTCAAAATTTTATTATATAATTAAATATTATATATAAAATCATATTCAATTATAAATTTATGATATATATAAAAAATATGATATATATATAAAATATTAATATATTGGGATTTTTTTAATCTTTTTAAAAAATCGATTTTAAAAAACAAATACCAAAGTTAATGTAAAAAGATTAAAGCTTATTTATTAAATTATAAATTATTATTAAGTTCATATTAGGCAAAGCAAGACAGAAACAATAACTTTTATATCTAATATTTGTTCTCATCTCGCTTTATTTAATATGAACTTAAATTATTAATTAATTATAATAAATATTAATTTAAATTTTAAGTGACTTTTTATATTAATCGTTATTTTCTAGAATTAATTTTTTAAAAATGATTCGAATATATTAACATTTTGAATAATATATTGCTATATAGTTGTTATTAAAAAATAAATATTATTTATATATTTTTCTATTTTATAGGTCGATCAAATGAATAAAATCGTAGAAGTATTAGGAATGCCACCGAAACATATATTGGACCAAGCGCACAAGGCGCGGAAATACTTTGACAAAGTCCCCACGGATGGCTCGTATGTGCTGAAAAAGTCAAAGGATGGTAAAAAGTACAAACCTCCTGGTACGAGACGCTTACATGATATCTTAGGTGTCGAAAACGGAGGCCCTGGTGGTAGAAGGATAGGTGAACCTGGTCATTCAATTTCTGATTACCTCAAATTTAAAGACTTGATTCTGCGAATGCTGGATTTTGATCCGAAAACAAGAGTGACGCCATATTATGCACTTCAGCACAATTTCTTTAAGCGAACAGCCGATGAGGGGACCAACACGAATATTGCTGCTGCCAATAGTGCTAACACGAGCCCAGCAGTAGTATCGATGAGCCAAGATCATGGTAAGTTATTAAAGATTTCATAATATATAAAGCATCATTTTTTGCTTAATGAATCATTTTACACGCGTGACAAAATAAAAATATTCTTCTTTTTAATTTGGGATTTTTTCTATTACTGTTAATTTTAATTTGAACAATTTATATATAGAACGTATTATATACCGAGCGTTAAATTATACATTTAAATTATTTCCATTACTGTTAAAAGAAAAAATTATAAAGTAAAGTTTAAATAATTTCAAAATGTGTATCTGTAATTATTATGTGTAAATTCACATTGAAGATTTTTTTCAAGGTCATCAACATTTTTTTTTTATTACATTAATTTTATATTAATACATTCTTCTAGAACTAGTTTTTCGCATTAATATATTTCTGCAATCCTTTATATATCCTTTATAATCCTTTATAGCATTTCATAAAATTCATTTTTTCATATTATTTAACATTATTTGAAGTTAATAGATTTTAAACCACAAAAAATAATTTATTAATTCAGTGATAAATCAAGTTTTGTCCAACTGATCAAGTAATGTTTATATCAAGTTTTATCCATCTGTTAAATAAATATATTTAATATTATATTTAATATATATTTATTACATTTTATATTCTTATAGTATTATTTATAGTATGATAATATTTTTAAAATATCATCCAAAATGTAAAATTTCAGATAGAAATTCTTTAAATTTTTTATCATTTTCATTTCAATAAAAAATCGATGATTTTGCCTTTTAAAATATGTATGTATGTATGTCATACATAATTGATAATGAAATGAAAATGATGAAAAATTTATACATATATATTATATCCATTATCCATAATTGATAAAAATAAAATATCTTTATAAATTTTTTTTTTATAATATAAAAAATTTATTATCTTGAAAAAAATCTTTAGTATGATTTTGGAAAAAAATTTTTTTTTATTAAATTTTTTATTAAATGTCTTGAAATCACTTAAATTCTTTTTTTTTATTGTTTTTTATTTTTAATAGTAATAGAAATAATTTAGATATTCAATTTAATCACTCTGTATAATACATTATTCTATTTTCATAGATAAGATTTTTAAACATTGATTAAGTTGTGCTACATTGGTTTAATATTTCGGTAAAACAGTTTATATTATATAAATATATTATATATTTAATAGCACACAAGAAATATTAGATAGATAATTTAATTTTTTTTTATATCAATTTTAAATAGTCTTATATATTTTTTATTTCTAAAATAATATTTATCAAAGAAACGCACGTATTCTTTATAATCTAAGATGTATAATAATTATGAAATTTGTCAAATAAGCGCTCTGTGTGTATAAAAAATAGATTTTCAAAAATTATGCTATGTATCGCTTAATAAGTACACAACTTTAATAAATACACAGTTAGCAATCTCACATAATTATTTTTTAAAATTTGTAATTTTGTGGTTTATTATTTCAATATACATGAAATTTTTTATAATCTTATATTTGAGAAAACTAAATGAATTCCAGAAATATCAATGATTATTTTCACTTGCTTCTTATATGATAATATAATGATAACAATATTTTTCTTATACAGCTAAATTTTATTTTTTAATATAAAATATATAAAATCTAATTAAGGCAACAAAATATTTATTTTTTAATTCATGATTTAATATTCAATCAAATTTAAGCTTTTATGATGATTTAGAAACATTATATATAAAAATTAATGAATTAAAGAAATACAATGACTCTTGTTTTGAGTTTTTAAGAAATTGTTTGACATTGTATTGAAGATTTAGGCAGGTTTTAATTTGTGCAGAAAATAAAATATTTTATAACACGATTATTTTGTAATAGAGCAAATTAATCAGCTTATATAATAATAGAAAAAATTATTTTATAATATATAAAATAAATAAAAGATTGATATTTTTTATTTTCTGCGCAAACTAAACAATACTTGTTGTTGCCCGTAGATATGATGGGGGGACAGTACGTGGCTCGATGACTGTCGTATCCGCGGGGCGGCGACGACCTGTCCTAGGCCCCAACCCTAATCTTACTTACTAACATAAGTAAGTTCTGTCTAACAAACAATCCTACAAGCTAAAAGACTAACATTGTCCCTAATAATCATATCCTGACCTCGGATGTAACATACGACGCCTTGCTTGCTTAAACAAAAAAATTAGTACTTTTAATTTTTTTTCTTTTAAGTGACACACGGATTCATATTGATGGCCCGTGTTTCAATATTTTGATATATTATTATATTCAGTATATTCTTATAAATTATATTTATTGTAAAATTATTATTCTAATTACTTAAGAATGCCTTTGTCAATATAAAATATATTAGAATTTAAAAACAATGAAAATTAAATATTATCATGGGAATATATTCTTTATAATTTATATCTATAATTATAAGAAATCAAAAATAAATAATAATTATATGCATAATATATATTAAATTTTATTTAAATTTATGACTTTTATTAATTATTTCATTGCAAAGAACATATTCCTATTAAAAGTAATTAAATTGCATATCTGTTTTAAGTTTTTATTCTGTAGATTTTTTTATTGTCTTGGAATTTATTTTATGCATGCTTTAATTGCCTGCATATAGCACGTTCAGAAGTGCATCTTCGTTATATAATGTGAGAAATATTAAATTTCATCATTTCAGTAATCTAAGATTATAAATATTCCATTAATTTACATATCTGCATATCTATCACTTTAAGTTTTAGTTTTTTTAATCTAAAGTTAGTTTTTTTAATCTAAAATTTTTTCTTCTTCTCTTACATATTCCTTTTTTAAGATGAATATCTAAATATTTACTGAAACATAAATCATAAATTATAATTGTAATTTTATACGCACAAGAAAAAATAAACGTTTGGAAACGAAGGAATTTTAAAATGTAGAGTAAGACGATTTTAAAGAGTAATGTAGAAAATTATTTTTTAATTGATCGCATTTAATAATGAATGCAAAATACAAAATTTAATCACTTTTGATTTATCTTATATTTATATATGTATTTGACAAATATTTATCAATTTATTATTAAAATTATCCTTTAAATTTTTTATAACATTAGTAAAAAATAATAAGAAAACTTATCATGTTTAAAATATAATTCATATATTAATAATCATAAAATATTTACTCAAATATAATTAAACTTTATTAAATAAATTATATTATTTATAAATATAATTTCGAAAATTGTATTAAATTTTTTATTACAATTAAATTGTAATAAATTCATAAGAAATTTAAATTTAT